GTTAAACTAGCTCGTTGGATACTACTACACAATTTGTTCTCTAAACCAAGTTCTTGTAATTCTAGAGAAATAAGATGCGAGTTACAGTAAAAGATTAGTATTTAAGGTGTCTTACTAGTAGACGGTAAGAACTTAGGAATAACCCATATATTGTAGTACACAACAATTTATACTGTTATCATATACTGTACTTGTAATTGTCATTTAGAGGATCCATATTCTCCTCTAAATGAGAAGATGGATCCTTGGGAACAGATAGTATTCTTGTTATCATGAAACAAACAAGCTAGTTTGAACTTGTTAAAGTGTTTCGCAAACTCCATCATACATTAGTAACATTACTGTGTATGGTGTGATGCTCTTTTCATTTTCATTTATTGGAAACCTGAAGTATTGCTTCAAACAGAGAAAGTAGAGTGCCAATGTATTCAATACTGAGTAGTGTTGTTGGGGATTTTGCCTTGTTTCAACTGGGAAAGAGCATATTCAGCAGTATGGATGAGATCAGCAACATTGTGTTTTGAAATTTCCTCAGAGCCAAACAAGAAGATGGTCTTAACCTCAGCTTTCTTTGCAAGTCTTGACGCGTAACTAAGCTGCAATTTTGGTGAGTTAAGACTCCTTAGTAGTTGGCGGTACAAGGAAAGAACATTTCCCCTGTTCTTTGCAGCCTCTTGTGCTGTTAACCATATCAGGCTCGTCATGACAAAATGGAACAAGAATGTCCTGCGAGGAATGTTCATTCGGTAATTTTATCAAACACCTGATGAGCAAGAACCAAACAGCAAAGGATACAAGCGTAACAAAAGTAACGATGCATCACCCAAACAATTCCATAGCTAAAAAGAAGCAGAATTAAGGAAACGTTCCACAAATCATCAGGGTTTATTGGTCCACCCTTAAGAAGAAGGAATTAAACAAAAGCACCTTCAAATCGGAGATCTTCAGTTGTCCGAAAATCACATTCGATCTATATCTCCATTACCGGAAAAAGCATATATATAAGAAACAGAAAGAGACTTGACTTACCGGACGGCGAGGATCCGGCGAGCGAGCGGGGAAGCCGGTAGGAGGTAAGATGTATCTAAAATCAATCAAGGGCTATGAATACCTTCCACACTGCGTCGTTTTGATCCAAATAGCACATTTGTGTTTTTCCGTAACTAACACCGATTACAGTGTGGGTTAGCCAAACAAAAAAAAAACACCGATTACAGTGTGCATTTCCACTAAAACATTTTTTTTTTCCCGACAACAGATTATAGTAAAGCCCAAAAGGGCAGTAAAGAGAGAACACAGAAACGAAGCCTAAATAAGGCCCAAATTTATCAGATTATGAATTAAAATACAACCCACAATAAAATAAATTAATGCCCATGGTCCACTTGGCAATGAAGAGAGATCTCCAGAACTAGATAATCGGAAAACACATAGAACACAAAGAAAACAAATATACACAATCCGAATCCAACGACGTAGATATGGAAGCCCACAGTCGTCGGCCGGAACAACAGAATCAGATCTTAACTGAAAGTTTGAGAAGAAAGCTTTTTGTTTACAGATAGTTTTTTTTTTTAAGAGAGAGAGTTTTTTTAAGTCCACTAAAACATTTAACATTTAACATACATTTTTACAGAATTAAATAATACGCAGTAAATACACTCAAACTTTCTAATCTGTCGGGTTTTATACCCTAACGTTAACAAAAAATAGTAAAAGGTGTTAAATTTTTCAAACAAATATTCCTTAAAAATACCATAACTAAATTGGATTTGTAAAAAAAAGTATGCAAATATTTTTGCTATCCAAATAATATGTAGACTAGATTCTCACCTGCACTTTGTACGGGAACATTCGTTTTTATGTTGTAAACTATAATTTCGAATTGTGTCGTATATAATATGTTCAAAGTGTGATATGTATTGTTTTAGTTTGTAAGTARAATCGATTATTTTGAAAAAGTATGATTGTTTTTTTTTAGTTTGAAGGTAGAATAAGTATATTAAGTACTGAATTTTATAATGAATAATCATTATAGTTAGTATACATAAATTATAATATTTAGTTTTGAGCATGTAC